GGCAGGATGGTAGACCAGGGCCGACGTCCCAGTAGCAAAGAAGATTGGATTGAGCTCCTGAATGTGCAGAGATGCAGGAAAAGCAGTCAGTCCAGTTTCGATATTCTGCACCTTTCCACAAATGCGTCCAGATTCAGGTGTTCGATTCAAACCATCCTCTTTGCAAGTGGGACCTCGCCCCCGAGATCCCACTAGCCAAGAGGATTGGATTGAGCTCCTGAATGTGGACGCGTTTAAGTAAAAAAGATGCAGAAACAGTATTATTTCAATCTCGATATCCTGCACCTTTCCAACAAACGCGTCCAGGTTCAGGTGTTCAAATCCAATCGTCTTTCCAAGTGGTGTTTTGCCCCTGAGGTCCCACTCGCAAAGAGGATTGGATTGAGCTCCTCAATGTGGACGTGTTTTCAGCAAAGATGCAGGAAAAGCAGTTCAATCTCGATATTCTGCACCTTTCCACAAACGCGTCCAGATTCAGCTGTTCAATTCAATCCTTTTTGTTAGTGGGACCTCGCCCCTCAGACGTNTTCAATCTCGATATTCTGCACCTTTCCACAAACGCGTCCAGATTCAGCTGTTCAATTCAATCCTTTTTGTTAGTGGGACCTCGCCCCTCAGACGTGTTTCAAGCAGCGATGCAGAAAAAGTATTTCAATCTCGATATTCTGCACCTTTCCACAAAACTCGTCCAGATTCAGGTGTTCAATCCCATCCTCTTTGCTAGAGGGACCTCGCCCTGAGGTCCCAGAGGGATAGCCTGAGTGTGCTTGAGGGCAATATAGATAAGAGAGCGGGGGCTAGGTCCCACTTGCACCAATTATGCGATATTGACCGTCGATAGCGAAGATCAACGGCCGAAATCTCCTAATCCGTGCAAGTGGGACCTTGCCCCGGGGGTGCGGCAGGAGATATACAGAGCTTAGAAAAGAAATAAGGGCGCCTCATGAGCGCAGTAGACACCATTTAAATTTAAATATATAAAAAAAAATAAAAAAGTTATCGATCAATGAGAAAGTTCTCCACTGTAAACAGGAGAGAATTTCGATTTTATTTTTTTGTTTTTTATTTTTTTGTTTTTTATTTTTTTGTTTTTTATTTTTTTGTTTTTTATTTTTTTGTAATTGAAGGTGTTTGGATGTGTATCTTGAGGTGTTCCAGGGGTGAGGTCAAACTAGGTAGCAGAGAGGACTAGATTTAACGCCTGAATCTGGACGTGTTTTTGGACAGGTGCAGAAAATCGCGATTGACCAAATTTTCTGTATCTCTGCATGGAACACATCCAGATTCATCCACCGAATCCAATCCTCTCTGCTACGGTAGTACGACCTGGCCCCCGCCGATGGAACTGACGCTCCCCCGCATGATCAAGGACCCAGGACCATAGGGACCAGCGTAATTATAATAATTTAAAAAAAAAACATAAAAAAAAAAGAACTGTTACTTAATGTTATTTTCAAAAAAATATATATGATATTAACACAAAATTAATATTTAACACAAAAAAACTGTAGGCCAGGCTTGTATGATGATTTCTTTCATCTGCGCCACAGTCGCCGTTGGAGCGGAAAAGAATTTATGATGAAATTAAAACCGTAAATAAAATATATACTAAAAAAGAAAACCGTTCATGAAATCAACACCGTAAATTAAATTTGAAAAAATATACATACCCATCGGCCAGGAGGCCTGTATGATGCTTTCCTTCATCGGCGCCACAGTCGCCGTGGGAGCGAAAAAAAAATGATGAAATCATAATACCGTACATCATTAAAAAAGAAAAGAATTTTTTTTAAAAAATTCATTAAAAAAGAAAATATATATTTTTTTAAGGATTTCACAAAATTAACACTAAATTACATTGGGACAAAAAAAAACAAAAAACAAAAAAAATCCCCGTAGGCCAGGCCTGTATGATGCTCTCCTTCATCTGCGCCACAGTCGCCGTGGGAGCGAAAAAGAATTTACGAAATCATAATACCGTAAATCATTAAAAAATCCAAGAATTTTTTTTTTTAAATCATTAAAAAAGAAATGAAATTAAAAATATATATATATTTCACAAAATTAACACTAAATTACATTGGGGGAAAAAAAAAAAAAAACATACCCGTAGGCCAGGCCTGTATGATGCTCTCCTTCATCTGCGCCACAGTCGCCGTGGGAGCGAATTTTAACGGTCCGATGTCTGTTCCATCGATCAGTCGAAACTTCAGCTCTATCTCTTCTCCACCCCCTGCCATCTCTACCCACCTCCCCTCCCCTACCCTTCTTCCTTCTGCTTTCTCCCTTCTCTCACCCTCTCCACCCCCTTTTTCTCGCCGGCCGCGCGAGTTCTCCCCCTCCCCCCCCCCCCCCTCCCCCCCGCTCCCCCGCTCCCCCACCTCCTTCCTCCCTTTACCACTCTTACTCTTATCACTCTACGCCCCCACGTGGACGCGTCTGATCGGGACAGACTCGAAAGCTCTTTCTCAAGTACACGTGTCACTCTGCTAGCGATCCACGTCGGGATTCCAGCACGACTTCAGATCAACTACAATACGAGCTAATCAACGCCCTCCACGCATTCCTGACAAGCCACCTGGCACTGTTACACGTGTCACTTCTTTTTCTCTCACCCACCCACACCCACCCAACTACTCCACGTGTCACTCGGTTATCCCTCCTGTCAAATCAAACAATCAATCAACCACTCAATCAATCAATCAATCAATCAATCACGTTGCGATTCCACACGTCGACCCACATGACGATTATGAGCACCACTGGATAATCAATTAATCAATCAATCAATCAATCAATCCACTGGAGCGTCAGATAAATCTTCAGTGGAGACGTGTCTTGGGATCGCCACGTGGCACGTGGACAACCGTCGAGTCAATCAATCCAAATTCGCAAGTCGTTATGAAAAATCCATGAGTCGCCGCCGCTGTGGCTCCCAAAAAAAAAAAGAACGGAAAGAAAAAGAAGCTTCAGTCCAAATCTTCCCTGTATACTCCAAGAAATTTGTCACTCTAGACGTCAACTTCCGTACATCTCCGTTTAGCGCGGGGAGGGGGTGGGAGGGGGAGGAGAGGAGGGAAAGAGGGGGGCGAGGGCAAGAGAAGGGGTTGTACCCTCTCCTTCTCCTCTATACCGTCCCTTCTCTCTCTCTCTCTCTCTCTCTCTCTCTCTCTCTCTCTCTCTCTCTCTCTCTCTTCGTTCTCACACCCACCCCTTATTGCACCCCACCCGTATTTTATCCCAACTCGAGGGGGAAGGCGTCTTACGCTAAGACTCCGACTGCACAGAGTATGCCGACAGCCATACACCCATCCGGACCCTCCACCTCACGTCTCCTATCTCGTTCCCCCTCTCTTTCCCTTTTCTCTCCTCGCTGTTTGGCTGTGAAAAAGCCTCCAAGACTTGCGCCACGTATCCACCATCTACCCCCCCCCTCTCTCAATCAACCTTCCTGTCGTTGTCTGTCTCTACTCCACCCTCTGCATCTCTCTCCCTCCTCTTTCCGGCCGACCACCTCTCTCTCTCTCTCTCTCTCTCTCTCTCTCTCTCTCTCTCTCTCTCTCTCTCTCTCTCTCTCTCTCTCTCTCAATTTATCATCATATCACTCACCACATACATAAGAGAAATTGCACCTCCGGCTCTTGCATGACCTCTCTCTCTCTCTCTCTCTCTCTCTCTCTCTCTCTCTCTCTCTAATCCTGCGCTTGAAAGTGCACATCCATAAGACCCCTCAACCTCGGCGGCCCACTCTCAGCCATCAACCTCTGGACCAGACAGAAATGGAACAATCAGGTATGAATATCGAGATCAAGATAGACAGCTTGCTTCCCTCAGACGCGCACCAACCACCATCACCACTTTCTCTCTAAAAAACTTGCAATTCGCGTGGTCTTCCTCCTCCTACTTCTCCAACCTTCTCTAAGCCAAGAAACCGACTAGATGCATCGAATCGCTCTTCCCTCTCCGTCGCCTCCCTTCCTCTTTATCAACCACCCCTCCCTGTCTCCTTCTCCTCCCCTTTCCTCTTCATCAACCCCCTCTTGTCAACACCCCCCCCCCCCCTTCCCACCTGTTATCCTCCTAATATAACCCCTTGCTCGCGTCAAAGACCTGCGCTCCACTAAACCCGATGAGTTCGACAGTCGATCTACTTGTGCACTTACTTACTGGCATCTGCTGATCAGCGAGTATTCCCCCCCCACCCCTTCCACCCTACCAGTACCTCCCTTCTCCAACTGGTTTTCCCTGCTGCTCTTGATCCCTTTCTTTCCTCCCTCAAGGTAGGTCCCTCCCTCCCTCCCTCCCTCCCTCCCTCCCTCTTCCCCCCCACAACGAACACCCCTCTCCGCCTTCTCCACGCCCAATGACTTGGGAGTATCGACGCACAGCGCGCCGCTCTCGATCCGATCTCCTTACCAGACCCCCAACAATACCACCCACTCTCTCCTTACCAGACCCCCAACAGTGCCACCCCCTCTCTCTCTCTCTCTCTCTCTCTCTCTCTCTCTCTCTCTCTCTCTCTCTCTCTCTCTCTCTCTCTCTCTCTCTCTCTCTCTCTCAAGCGAGCGAGCGAGCGAGCGAGCGACAGACAATTTAAGTTTCCACTCTATAGACTAATCGACATCATGCTTCCTCGGCCAAATGCTCAATTCGCTCCACAGACTCTCCCGCTCTCTGTCACACATCGCCTCCCCCTCCTCTTCTCCTTCACACCGTCCTCCTCCTCTCCCCCTCTCTGTTTGCCAGATCTTCACTCGTTTTCCCACAGATCAACGGGCATACTAGCCTCGCCCCTCCCTCCCTCCCTCCCTCTCTCTCTCTCTCTCTCTCTCTCTCTCTCTCTCTCTCTCTCTCTCTCTCTCTCTCTCTCTCTCTCTCTCTCTCT